GATATATTTTATTAATGCAATATCCAGATCTAGTTTTTTTCCATAAATCGTTAGTCATTAAATGGAGAGTTATTTTTATCAGCGACCTGATTCAAAACGCAACGATTGCTTTGAAGTTGAATCGGAAAAAGGAACGAGAATCAATATGAAACCGTACATTTATTGCTCGAGTTTACGCTTTTCTTCGAGATTCGTATGGACCAATAGGGCAAAAGCCGTTATTGATGTTGCAGCATTTACTGATGCTTCGAAAGAGAAAGATATATTCATGATGTGTAATATATTTCCTTTAATATTTTATTTAATATTTAGAAAAATAAAAGAGAGAGAGAGAGAGTCTTTCGTGAGACTGTTTAGAATATTGCATATAAAATATGATGTGCAATCATGTGAATATCATGAATATATTTATTTTTGAACCTTTTATAAATTGCTGATGTTTGTTAAATATTTGTGAGCAAATATTTTCGTATTTTATACCCGTTCGTTGTTGTTTAATTTCATCAAAAGCAACTTTCTAAATAAAGAAAGATATATGCACAAAATATATAATATACGAAATGGTTTGATAAACTAAAGTTTTACGTATCTCAGATGACATTTATCTTTAGAAATATGTTGTTCTGCCATACACGTGGAAGATTATGCAAGTTGAAGAAAAACCGAAATTAAAAAAATATTCTTAAAAGATATGTATATTTATATTTCAAAATAAATTATGGGATGTAGACGCAGCTACCATCGATTATCTTAAATGTGAATTTAGGCATCATCTCATGCAAAAAGAAATTTCCAGTTTTAATATTCAGTTTAATTAAATGTTTATAAAATAAAAAATATTAAAAATGTAATCGAACTCAATTTAATCAATTCACTAAATAATACTTATTTTGCGAAAACTTAAACAAATTTAAACAAATGATGCAAGGTATTCAACATCGAAAATCGAAAAACGCAGTAACTATAATCCTAATCGATATCTTTCCAGTTTAAAAAATGCCAAACTGTAAATCTCTATTTCTAATGGAAGACTACAATTATACGAAATTAAACAATTAAAATGAAATAATTAAAAACAACAAGCAAAAAGTTAAAACAAATAAGTTAGACAATTAAAGATTCATTTTAACTGTAAGGTCAAAAACATAAATTATATTTAAACAGAAGAAAATTGTAGTCTTGATAGATTAAATGTTGATAGATATTCATTTTTAACATATATTTATTTCATGATAGCAATACACACTATATTACATATGAGTCACATCATGAATTTCAAATAACTATTAATTACGATAATTATCTTATATCATAATTCTCATGGTGGCTTGCACTTTTTTCCTTGACCATCTAAATTAATTTTTTTGCCATGCGATCCTTAAAATAATCTTAAAATAAATTTAATTAAAGTTACTACTGTAATATGACATAAGCAACAATCATACTTTCTTATAGTCACAACGCTAGTGTATTTTTCATTATAATTAATGACGTACTGCAATTGATGGATGAGGATCAGCTTCAGGACTCCCCAAAACAAATAAAGTAATCGTTGCTACGAGAACAGTCTGAAAAGTTCTCAGCCTGACACATAGATGGCATTAGAAACTGTCAAACTGTATTGTATTGTATATCAAACTGTACTGTATTGTAACAACTGTATGTAACAACTGTATTGTATATCAAACTGTAACGGTATTGTATAATTGTATTGAAAAGTGGCATCCCTGATATAAAACCATGTAAAATTTTATTTCGATCTGTCAAGTCATTCGAGTAGTAGCACCAGTTTAATATTGACGTGTCACTGTCTTTTTTAAAATGGAAAAAATTGAATATCGTGCAATGATTAAATTCTTTGTTTTGGATGGTTTAACACCAACAGAAATTCATCCGAAATTGTTAAAAGTATATAAGGGTGCATCATCTTCACTTTCCACTGTGAAAAAATGGGCTGCACTTTTTAAATCTGGTCGTACAAGCCTCGAAGATGATCCATGCGAAGATTATCCAAAAACTGCTACAAAACACCACAAAACATTCAACAAGTCCATGATATGATGGTGTTAGATGATCGGCGAGTGAAAATGCGTGAAATAGCTGAGATGCCATAGGCATCTCGAAAGAACGAATTGGAAATATTTTGCATGAAGAATTACATATGAAAAAGCTTTGTGCAAGATGGGTGCCGCATTTGCTAACAATTGACCAAAAACGCATTCGAATGCATATTTCTCAAACGTGTTTGGATCGTTTTAAGCAAAATAAAATGGATTTCAAGCGTCGTTTCATAACTGTTGATGAAACTTGGATCCACCACTATATACCAGAGCGAAAAGAACAGTCGAAACAATGGATCGAAGCCGGTGGACGTGCACCAAAGAAGGCAAAGACGGTTCCATCAGCAGGAAAGGTTATGGCAACAGGTTTTTGGGATTACAAAGGTGTTTTGTTGATCGATTATCTTCAGAAAGATAAAACGATTAACTCTGAATATTATTGTAACCTTTTGGATCTATTGAATGCAAAAATTCGCGAGAAAAGACCTGCTGTAAAGAAGAAAAGAATCGTTTTCCATCAAGACAATGCACGTGTTCACACAAGTGTTTTGACAATAGCAAAATTCAACGAGTTAAAGTATGAATTGCTTGAACATCCAGCGTATTTACCAAATTTGGCTCCCCCTGACTATTATCTGTTTCCAAACCTGAAAAAATTCCTGACTGGAAAGCGTTTTTACATCAAATGACGAAGCTATTGCAGCCGTGGATGGATATTTTGCAGATCTTCCGGAATCACATTTTAATAACGGTATTGAATTATTGGAAAAACGTTGGAATAAATGTATTGAAGTTTCAGGAGATTATATTGAAAAATAAAACATATTTCACGGCAAAAAAAATTTTCTTTCATTGTTAGACCGAGAACTTTTCAGACCGCCTACGTACTATTACCAAAATTCCTGTGACTGACTTTACGATCATCATTTTGTTAATATTTGCTTGGCCTCACGTGAGAATATATTACGAGTGAGCGAATGAATATGTTATGAGTGAGCGAATGACACCGGTTTTTATACATAAAAGTCACATAAATATCGAATGTAAAAAATTCTGGTATCACTTTATTTTTCATGTCATTTTACGACCACTAGACGTGCGGATAGTGTACGTATAAAGGCGAAAAGTATGTCGTTAAATGTTAAATATTCGTCATCTTTAATACCTAATGTTGTGTCATTGTTAGAATATTTCGTTTTACAAATTTTATTTTAGATAAGATTATATTCGATTTGATTTCCAGATATGTATCGCGCCCATCGGAAATTTATTTCTGACGTTTCGTGCACATTTTAGTTTATTTCTTCAGGGAGAGGAATATCCAGAAATTCAGTTTTCCACAAAACGTCGGAAACAAATTCAAGGCACGGACACAGCATAAACCCGAAAATCAAGTTAAATATTTCTTTGCGAAAGCCGAAAATCTTAATATGATATTATTTTTCTAATTAATGATATTTATCATAAGTGTCGAATGTAAAAATTATATTAATGACAAATATAAAGATTACATAAGTGTCGAATGCCAACAATTTTGACACATGACGACCCTACTGTCAAATTTAGAGTTGTATATGCAGATAGTGTGCGCATAGCATAAAAACGAGAAACACGTTATTCGATTTTTATTTCAAAACTAAAAATTTAATTTATTAGATTCAAAATAGTTCATTTTCTAAATTTTCATCTAATAACGATGTTTAGCTATTCATCATTTTTTAAATATTATGTTTTATAAAGTAAAAAAAGCAATATTTCAAATTTCTTGAAAGAAATATGTACAATATTTAAAGGAAAAAAAGTTGTTGTCTTGATAAATTAAATGTTGATAGAGGTATTCACTTTTAATATGTATTTATTTCATGACAGCAATACACGCATACTGTATTACATATAAGTCACATCATGAAAATAACTATTAGTTACGATAACATAGTTATTTTATATCATAATTCTAATGAAATGGTGACTTCTAATAATACATAACGCTAGTGTGCATTCCATTATAATGAATACTTACGAAAAATGATGTATCTTTAGCTTCGGGATTCCCCAAAACAATTGAAGTAATCGTTGCTACGATAACTAAAATTCCAAAGACTGATTTTGCAATCTCCATTTTGCTAATACGCTTGGTGTCACGTAAGAATATGTTATGAATGAGCGAATAACACCGGTTTTCATATACAAAAGTCATCGAATAAAAAAATTCTAAATATCGAATATAAAAAATTCTGATGTCACTTTATTTTTCATATCATTTTACAATCATTAGGCGTGCAGATAGTGCACATTTAAGGGCGAAAAATATGTCGTTAAATGTTCGTTATCTTTAATACCGAATGTTGCGTCATTTTCAGAATATTTCGTTTCACAAATTTTATTTCAGGTAAAATTATATTTGATTTGTTTTCCAGATGTCACGTCCATCTGGAATTTATTTCTGACGTTTCGTGAACATTTTAGTTCATTTCTTCAAGGAGAAGAACATCCAGAAACAGTTTCTCACAAAACGTCGGAAACAAATCTAGGACATGAACACGGCACAAACCCAAAAATCAGGTTAAATATTTTTCTACACTGCCGAAAATTTCAAAATTATATTATTTTTTCAGTTAATGATATATGAAACATATCATTAATTGGATGTTGTAAATTAGTATTAAATATTATCATAAAATTATCCTTTGCATAATTTTACACTTTTGTTTTGGTTTATAAAAATATCGGATATAAAGAACACTGATGCGTATACTTTATGTAGTACGCATATAAGTGTCATTCTTGGGATATTTTAGTTCATTCTTAATTGCAAATTTTATTCTAGTAGTAAGTGACGATATGAATTATATTAACCAAACATAAGTTATATTAAAGAATAAAAAGGTTCTAGTAGTGACCGGTTATGTGTTGAGAATGTTGGTATATATTCATTTTTAATTTGTATTTATTATATTATTTCATGATTACAATATGCATATACTGTACTACATATGTTGCATCAAGACTGTCAAACATTCGCTCCATTAATTAGTGTAATTATCGTGTGTATTTAATGATACTTTATGAAAACACTGCGTATTTCCTGCATATTTAACCACCTTGCAATGTTTGTATCACCTTAGTCTGAAATAAATTTAGAGGCAATATTAAAACTATATTATAAATATAAAATATAGCGTAATTAAATCTTTTGGTGTTACACAGAATTATATATATATATATATATATGTTCAATCATTACAAATTACGTACATCAATCTTCTTCTCGTCTTCCACACTTTCCATAGTAACGAAAGTAATCATTGTTACGATCATTACCCAAAGTTTAAAGAAAGATTTCGCAACCTCCATTTTGCTAATACGCGCTGTGCATGATACCCTTTGATATTACGTGAGAATATGTTGAAGTAAGTAAATAACACCGATTGTTATATATAAAAAATCACATAAATATTGAATACAAAAGATCGTGACACATATAATTTTACAGTCACGTTCCAAGTTTATTTGAATGTTGACTCACTATTAATATATATTTATGTATGTAAATGTATGTTTATTTCACGATAGCAACATACATATACTATGTTATACATATTGTATCAAGAATGACAAATATTCGCTTTTTCAATTATATTAGCGTAGCCCTCTTATTTTATAATTATTTTGACACGTTCCACTTCGTATACATTTAACCAAGCAATGATTCTATTACTTTAGGCTAAAATAAATTTAATCAAAGTTATTATAAAAATATAAAATTAGCGACAATGGCACTTTCTAATGATACACATTGGTATACATTCCATTGTTATTACGTACATCGATTGCACTGGGTTCAGGAGCCCCCGAAGTAGTGGAAATAATCGTTGCTACAACGATTACCAAAATTCCAAAGAGAAATTTCATAATTTCTATTTTGTTAGGAACAATACGTAAGAACGATACGCTTGATGTTACGAGAGTATGTTTAAAGAAGGGATCATCATCGATCTTATATATTCACACGACATAAGTGTCGAACATAAAAATTATATTAACGGATGTAAAACTTACTTAAGTGTCGGGTGCAACAAATTATGACCTATATAACTTTACTATAAAATTTAGAGAAATTATATGTGCAGATAGTGTACACGTAGCATAAAAACGAAAAACACGCTATTCAATTCTTATCTTTAAACTAAAAGTTTAATTTATTAGACTCAAAATAGTTCATTTCCTAAATTTTCGTCTAATTATGATATTTAGCTTTTCGTCATTTTCAGAATATTATATTTTATGAAGTAAAAAAGCGGTATTTGAAAAATTTCTTGAAAGAAATATGTATAAACATTGTTTTAGATTTAAATATTGCGATATTTTAAAAGATTTTTGTAAAGATAAATTAAATGTTGATAGACGCATTTAGTTTTAATATACATACATTTATTTCATAATATGCATTACGTATGCATACTATATTTTTCATAATAAAACTGATCATAAATTTCCATGCAATAAAATTGTTATCGTTACCCGGAACTCACGCGCGATATTGAACTTTGCGATAGCAAATATTGCAGAAATAAAAATGCTACGATATTCCTAGGAATGTTTTCATACATTTTCACGTGTAATCTCTCAAACATAAAAATGGCTTTTTCTTTTCAAAGCGATAAGTTCTATATATTAGGTGTACAACTTTGCTGCCGCCGTTTTTCTATGGATAGCTTTAGCGGTAAGTAGTGGTCGAAATAAATAGATCATAGACGTCGTGCAATAAACTTGGGCATCTATCAACATAACCCCATAGAAACATTAGTCGATTTGTGTCTGCATCATAAAGTTATTCTCGATTGAAAATGTCAGTTTACGAGCCAAATTCTCGTCATTTGCGGGAGGTTTTAATTTTCTGCTTGAATATGAAGAAATCTGCGACTGAGGCTCATCGAATGCTCTCAAATACTTATGGTGAGACCGCTATTAGTGAAAAAACGTGTCGTGAGTGGTTTCAACGCTTCAAGAACGGTGATTTTCACGTCGAAGACCGGCATAGCGATGGAAGAGAGAAGGTTTTCGAAGATGCAGAATTGGAGGCATTACTTAATGAAGACTCGTGTCAAAGTCAAGAAGAATTGGCACGATCATTGGGAGTGACTCAACAAGCAATTTCAAAACGCCTCAAAGACATGGGAATGATTCAGAAGCAAGGAAATTGGGTGCCGTACCGAGTTGAAACCGAGAGATGTTGAACGGCGTTTGTTTGCTTGTGAACAGTTGCTTGAAAGGCAAAGACGGAAGGGATTTCTGCATCGCATTGTGACTGGGAACGAAAAATGGGTTCATTACGATAACCCCAAGCGCAGAAAATCATGGGCATATCCACGTCGACGGCCAAACCGAATATTCACGGCTCCAAGGTCATGCTCTGTATTTGATGGGACCAGCTCGGCGTGGTGTATTGTGAGCTGTTAAAACCGACTGAAACAATCACAGGCGATTGTTATCGAATGCAATTAATGCGTTTGAGCCGAGCATTGAAAGACAAACGGCCGCGATACAACGAGAAATACGATAAAGTGATTTTGCAGCATGACAATGCTCGACCCCATGTTGCGAAAGTGGTCAAGACATACTTGGAAACGTTGATATAGGAAGTCTTACCCCACCCGCCGTATTTTCCAAACATTGCTCCCTCTGACTATCACTTGTTTCGATCAATGGCACACGGCCTGGTTGACCAGCACTTCCGGTCTTATAAAGAAGTAAGAAATTGGATCGATTCGTGGATCGCTTCAAAAGATGACCAGTTTTTTTCAATGAGGAATTCGTTGAACGCTGCCCGAAAGATGGGAGAGAGTAGTGGCCAGCGATGGACAATACTTTGAATCATAAATGTATAACCAGTTTTTTATTTTAATATATTAATATTAATATATTATAATATATTAATATAAATAATATATTGATATTATTTAATATTAATTATATTAATAAAGCCTCGAATTTCGGAAAAAAAAACGGCGGAAGCAAAGTTGTACACCTAATAGCTGAAACGAACCGAGTGTGTGACGCAAATTTGTATTTTATTTATACGTATAATTAATACGTAATTTCATTACGAATATTAATTCAGACAACCAAGAGTTTCCGCATCATGAGCGCAGATTAGAGGCGCGATTTTGGGATGGGTAATAGTGAGATATTATACGTGCATGTGTCTTATTCGTCACACAAATCGTAAACGCGCGAGTGCCGAAGCGTGTCCTGCGAAAAATGTGACTGACTGCGATGGAAGAAGGAAGGACGATGTCGGTGTTATCCTCCGCTCGTAATTCGTCGCGCTTAATTTGTGAATTCGATGAGACACAGCGTCGCGCCAGCGATTGGTGCACTAAAGATTCCCTCCTAGTAGAAGAAATCCTCAGGATGTAATTCAGTTTGTCCGTAAGGCGCTCGACCAGCCGCGACACGAGTCCACCGCGACTGCTCGTGTCGTCATACATTATGTTCGACTATCTATTTGTGAGCCAGCTTTGAATAATTTATTCGTTCGGATGTTCACTGTTCCAGCACGCCGTGTGCGCTTCGACTTCCCGCCGTCTTTCCGAACTCAATTTCAATATAACGAGCAAACTTGCTGAAAAATAAATAATGCATGGCGAATCGCAAGTCTGCCTGGCGTCCGCGTCGCCGACTTTCATCGATATTCGCGCATCGAAAGTAACGTTATCGGCGATCCCGACATGAGCCAGTGAGACGCGCGATTATTACGAAGTACGAAAATTACATGCGTTTTCTCCCGTGAAAGGACCGCCGCGTCTTCGCGATACATTCTCATCACGGTCGTAACTTTCGCGGCTTGATTTTCCAAAACGATCATCGCAACATCGACACTCACTCGCGCATTCGACTCGCGATCGATTAACTTTCCTGGGGGGGGGGGTTGGAAACATTCGTCCGTGTGACCTTTCCACCCGCGCCGGGTAGAAGTTTGTGCAGAAAAGCAGAGCGTGACGCGCCCATATCCGAGATTACGCGCACGGAACGCCACATTGACGGTCAAGTTCAGGGCCGACGGGAGATCTGACTTGCCATTAAGCTTGCAAAACGAAACTGCGCGCGTGTATTTTCCGTACGGTCCACACCTCGCTACTTTCACTCGGACGTTTGCGCGAAGGCAAACGGTCACGATCACCATCGCCAATCGCCGACGATTGATCGGCTGAAGACGAGAGGAAGACGAAGGGTCTCGATCGACCGAACGGTACGACAGAATGTTGTGGCGCGCGAAGCGTGGAAGCGTGGAACTCGGAAAATTCCCGGAACTGACTAGATTCCCGGGTAAAGTTGAAAAAATTGAAAAATTGCTCGATATATAAACCAAACTGTCGACGTCTCGCCCCATTTTAATCCTTTATATCTTGAGTTAATTTACCCAAGACCTTCTTGTTAAATTTTTGTGTAATTAAATAGCTTTTAGCACATTCTAAACATCAGAAATAGGAAAATAAATTTTATAATAATTTAATGATTAAATTTTAAAGCGATATTTATATGTAAGTACGGCAGGAATGTAGAGTAAGACGCAGAAAAAAAAAAGTTCAAAAACATATGAGCGTTTATATAGAGCGGTACTTTAAGTATACTTTCGTATACTTAAAGTATCGTCAAGACGTAAAGAGTTGATGCAGACAGTTGAGGAAGTGGCTGTTATGAATTACGTTCTGTATGATTGCGACGTTATTGTAAATTATCATATTTACGAGATAGCTGCTCTGTTTTATTTTATGTTTTCAAATAACGTTCCGACCACGATTTTTGGATGCTCTAGTGATATGATCGTCTCAAGCGGAGACGAAACGCGAGGACTGCCAAAGGTTGTCTCTCCTCTTTCGCTCGTTTCGATAATCGATAAGCACTTTCGACTGAAATTCGTCGCGATACTTCGCGTATCGAGCAACTGATTCGCGAATCCAATCGATGTGTACCCTCAGATCTGACCAAGACCTAAAAGTATACATTATTCGAACGCGGAGAACGGCATACCGGCGAGTACCTAGCGGAGGATCGGAAGACAACACGATGAAAAAAAGAGCGAACACTGAGGAGCGAGTTTGCTGGAGTTGTGGAGGACTGAAATAAGAACAAATGGATGGAGCGGCCGGACTGGACCGCTGAAAATAAAACGCAGTGAAGCAAAGGGCGGCCGGTCGAGCTTGTGGGAAAAGCGGTGGGAGAGCCGAGAGAGAGAGAGAGAGAGAGAGAGCCAGTGGAGTAAGACCGAAGCATGTACGGCGTCGCCTGCTCGAAGGGAAGATGGGCCTTCTGTTCCCTCGCGAGCAGCGCGCGCGAGAGGTGAGACGGGATCTTGTTAGCCCTGAACTTGAACACGAGTGTGTATGTATGTATGTATGTGTGTGTGCGTGTGTCCGGCGGCTCCTCCGCAACGAACGGCTGAACGCTGAATCCGCGCGCGCTCCTCCATCAGAGCCCGCTGGTCTTCTCCCTCATCCACCGGCGGATGAGAAGTCGAGGGAGAAGGACTGATTTTTAGAGCGCTTGCTTCGTCGTAACAGTAATCGTTATCTAAATTAACCGCGATAAAGACGCGCGCCGGAGTCGCTGTGTAATCTCTCTCGAGCATGAGAGCACGGAAACGCGGGTGAGAATCGACCGCGCTGGCGCCGCGAAGGACGGACAATCACGCGGCGATGATTTATCACTGAAAATTGCAGCCTCGCAACTTTCGCTCCGTGCATTAAATTCCGCCCCGACCTTATCAGCCGATGAGGCGATTCCGCGGAGAATGATCCGCGACGATTCGCGGAGGAGGTGAGGGGGGGGCCGATTTTTCAGCGCTGTCGCGCGCATTTTTCGCTCCGCAGTCGCTTATCTTCGGCGTAACACGGATACGGCGGCCGAAGGACCTCGGGAAACGGTGCCGCCAATCTGTCTCGTGTGAGACCAGTCGTCGGCGCGATCGCTTTAAGCAGATGCG